CATCCAACCCTGTCCTGGGCAATCCTTTTCATATCTGCTTCTATTTCTCAATGTAATGTATGTTTCAATAATAAAGAAGAAAATAATATTGCTCAATATTCACCTTGTATATAGATCATTAAAGTAATCACTAAATGTACGGACAAATCTCGAAGAACATTCTGACTAAACAAGAAATTCCAATATACTAGAAAAGTTTTCAGTGTTATGTCAACATTCACTCAAGGTACAGCAAACAAATTGCCAATGTTTATAAGATTCGTTTACGTCTCATAGACGAATTTCTTTATGTAGAATGACCGAACTCATGAAGAACAAAATTGATACATGTATAGGATGATTTCGTATGAATTAAAATGATTCTGTTGAGACTATAATTTATGGACGAACCAATCATATATAAGATAACAGGTGTCGGATTTCGGCGCGAAATTCACTCATTCATTCGGATAGATAGGATTTTGACGTTATAGATGATGTCATTTCGTGATGAAATTTCTAAATCAAATTTCTAACCTTAATCATCAACTGTAAATCATAATTCCACTTCCTCACATTGGTTAGTAACGCTTATTTGGTCCCAGTTATTAGATGGACACTTTCAAGGTCAGTCTGGCGTCGCTCAATGGCCGTCCATAAATTATAGTCATAAAGTGAACAAAACAGCAGTGGGGACAATCGAATGTATTTGAGCAGAAAATTACAGAGCATCTTAAATAAAATCTGAGAACTATATAGTGAATCGTTAATTTCCCAAATATCAAACTTAACTGTTCTTGTTGCAAACATCAGTCCATTGTCTCATATTTCATTGTTCATGCGTTTTCATACCAATTATGTTCCGTTCCCGTTCTTTCCTCATCGACCTTCTACTGAAATACATTATATGCCTGACCGCCGTTATATACTACTTGTGTGGATATAAGCAATCCACACCACGACATGTCCTGGGTTCGAATCTCGCGAGGCAGGATCGTGGATGAGCACTGCTGAGGAGTCACACAATAGGACGATATGGCCGTCCAGTGCTTCCAGGTTTTTCATGGTGGTCTAGTTTCAACTGACTCATGATTTTTCAACTATTGAAATAAGCTATTGTGACGAGATTATAATTTATGGACGAGTCAATCAAAGGGGTTTGAGGGCCTTCAAAGTCACGACGCCAACTTCGGTTCCTAATGCTCATGTACTATCGGTTTAGAGTGGAATTTATAGAAGACGTGATCACTAAGCGGCTATAAAAAATGGGACTACTAAGGATTTTATTTGTGACTGCTGTACCGTGTGCAGACTACCGTGATGAGATTTTATTTCGATGTTATTCATGTTCGAGAAAGAAGTCCGCTCGATCCCGATTTAGACTAAGAAAAATCATGATGGTTGGATGGATAATAAAATCACCAGTAACACTGGCTGAAACAATTGCAGATGTTATTGAAGCTTCAGCTGTTCAGTGGTATTGTAGTGAACAGAATACTGATGGTGACAGAATTACAGGACTTGTTAATAAAATCTAACAATCATAAAGTAAATGCTTAATTTGCAAAATGTCCACTAATTGTCTCAAAATGACTCAGACTTCATTGTTCTTGCATTTTCATACAAATTGCATCCTGTTTCTATTCTTTACTGTTCGATCCTCTTGTCTCACTGCTGCCAGACTTTCTGTGTACAATTCACATCATATACTACTTATGTCAATATAAGTAGCACATACCACAGTCTCACAACGATTCTTATTACAGGAATAACAATACGAAATCATGCATACACATATGATCATACGTAGTGGGATTGTGACTTTGCAGTAAGGAAACTTCTATGACATATGAAGAGTGTAAAAACGTAACGTGAGTTATTATTACCACTGAAGACAACAGCGAACAAATAATTATAGTGGAATATAAAAATACCTTTTTGTAATACAAGACCAAGTCATTCGTTTTTAGATTAGGTATTTGGATTTTCCCACTTATCAGGTACAATATAGAGAAAGTCTTGTTTCAAGTTATCGTTATCTTTCCTTGATACCGGTAACTTTGAAGCTAGAAACGTGGACCATTTTTTGTGACTCATTGGCTTAACATTATTACACTGTCCATTAGAGCTATAGAACCTGAGTATGTTTCCTGGAGCTTACTGCTATGTAATTTCAGTCTAAGATGAAACAGTTACCCAATATCTACTGGTTTGCAGCGATTCTCTAGGTGACATTATTCACTAATAATAACTCTCTTAGAGGTCCATTCAATCGTATGATTTTCAAAGTTATCATAGTGACCAATACCATGTATTGGCTTATTTGTAAGTTCTGTGAATCAGATAATCCAAAAATGTAATAACTCCTCATTTCCCTACGTTAGTTAATCTGTTATGATTACTAGAATACATTTCCGACCTTTGTCTTTCTAAGTTTTATACTGGGAAGTAAGTTTGCAAACGATTACCTGCACCAAGTTGATAAATTATCCTTAAAACCTAGTTGAATGGAGATCATTTATAAACTACTAAGTTTTATGGTAAGGCCCTCGGTAAGTTTACTAGCAATGAAGGTAGCAATTATATGTTGAGGGATTACGCAATAAAACCTTTTCGCTTTGACTAAATGCAATTCATTGAATGGTAAGTTTCTTCTCCAACAAATCTTGTTGAACACATATTCTAATGACTTAAATCATTGGATTTTGTATCTAGATATGTTCACACCAAATATATCATGTACCCATGACTTGGAATTCCTGTATAGAATTTATTGTGAATTCAACTAATACTACGTTTATTTATGATGAATAAATTAATAGAATTGCTCCTCAGGTTGACATAAGTGTTTTGTAAATCAAAGTAAATAGGATGAATAATAAATCATATACTGTGAAAGACAGCGATTAACTCTCATCAGTTATCGTTGTAATTCTAACCACTGAAGTACTTCGTACTAACTGTATTGAATAGAAATTTTAAGCCTAGTACGTGGATGTATCACTCAATTTCGCGGATTAGTTGAAGTTAAACAATAATACCGTTGGACGCCGGCTTAGTGGTTTGCGCACGAAACCGATAGGTCCTGGGTTCGAATCGCGCACTGCTGAGGTGTCCCACAATAGGACGAAACGGTCGTCCAGTACTTCCAGGTTTTCCATGGTGTTCTAGCTTGAATTGACTCATGAATTCAACTATTAGGAAGAAATGTGTTTTAGAAATTGTATATTATGTATTTTGTTATGCAAAATAAACTAGTAATTTTTATGAAACAGCCCTAGGTAAATTTCCGGGCAATGTAATCATTATAAATAGCGATCCTATGTAGAATGATAACATAATAGAGCCTTTTGCTTTGACTAAATGCAACTCATTGAATAGTAATTAAAGTGATCAAACAAGAAGACGAATTATTCACGTTTAAACTATGATATATTCACTACAATTTCAAATTACGACGATGTATATATCAAAGAATACAGGGATAAATAAACTAAATGTTGGTAAGTCATATCTTTAAAAACACTGTATTTAAATGTACTTGATATAAAAACTATAATATACAAATACAGACTTGTTCTAAGTAAAGATCGGTGTCAGGCAAGGTTGCTTACTCTCACTCTTTCTATTTCTCCTGATGACCGATTGGATTAGGAAGACGTCGATATCTGGGGATACAGTGGACAGCTAGGATAGAGCTGGAAGATCTAGACTTCGTAGATTATCTGGCTCTACAATCGCAGACGCAACAACAAATGTAGGAGAAGACGACTGGTGTCCCAGTAACCTCAACAGCACTGGGTCACAACATAAACAAAGGGAAAAGCAAGGATCTCCGATACAACGCAACACGCACCAACCAAACCACACTTGACGAAGAAGCTTTGGAGGATGTAACAACTTTTACATATCTGGGCAGTATCACTGATGAACACGGTGGATCGGATGTAGATGTTAAAGCGCGAATCGGCAAAGCAAGAGCTGCATATTTACAACTGAAGAACATCTGGAGCTCGAAACAACTATCAATTAACACAAAAATCAGAGTTTTCAATACAAATGTCAAGACAGTTCGACTGTATGGGGTGGAAACTTGGAGAACTACGAAAGTCATCATACAGAAAATAAAAGTGTTTATTAACTGTTGTCTACGCAAAATACTTCAGATCCGTTGGCCACACATTATCAGCAACAACAACCTACTGTGGGAGAGAACAAACCAGATTACAGCGAAATAGGAAATCAGGAAGAAGTGCTAGAAGTGGATAGAATACACATCGAGGAAATCACCGAACTGAGTCACAAAGCAAGCCCTCACTTGAACTCCTCAAGTTCAAAGGAGGAGAGAAAGACCAAAGAACACATTACACCAAGAAATGGAGTCGGACGTGAAAAGAATGAACAGCAGTTGGATAGAACTATCAAAGAAGGCCCAGGACAGAGTAGGTTGGAGAATGCTGATCGTCGGCCTATATTTCATTGGGAGTCACAGGAGTAACTAATCCATACAAACATAACTATACAGATTAACTGATCATCCATTTACAGGAATACAAATATACAATGAAAACAAACATTTAGATTTCATGAAAAACAAAAAAAATGTTAACAACATTTTCGTCTAGTTACATAGAAAGAAAGATATTTACTCATTTCCCCCTTTTCTTTTCTTTTTCTTTTGTTTTTTTCTTTTCTTTTTTTTGCACAGTTTCTTCATGATTCATTTTTTCTAAATGAAATCTGATCTTCACTTGGTATTATTTGGATTGTATCTTCCCATTGAGGTTTAAGACGGCAACTGATCAGTCTGTGTGTGCATACTGTGCGTATGCCTCGATATTGCCATCATTGCTTACAAGAAATCTGATCTTGTTTATTGATAAATTACAATGAATGAAAATAGTCTCATTTCAACTGTTCTATTCAATGTAAATAGAACATTGTTTAAATAAACTTTGTTACATAATCATCTATTCGTATAGATTAAGAGTTTATACTCATATTACTTATTTTAAGAAATCATGAATAGAATGATCATTAGTGTATTCTGTATATGTATTTGTTCAATTGTAATAAATGGTAAGTTCTTTATTGATTCTCATTGAGAAATTTAGTGTCTTCCCATTGTTATTTAGGATTGTAATTGATTAGTCTCTCTCTCTCTTGTTGATATATGTGCATATTGACTCAATATAAACTTATGTGATGAACTTTATAAGTGAAGATGGATAATAGCTAACAGCGAAAACCAGGATGTGCTTATCCTCCTAATTGGGACTTGTCACATGAATGTACCTACATCTCAGAGTTGATGTTCACTCTGGTACTCGAACTCAGTACTGTTCGCTTCAAACGGAATCGTATAATCCACTTAGTTACTGAGTCCTGATAGCAACTTGTTTGTGGAATGGGGTGAAGTTGAAATTCATTTGATGTTGTTTTACTTGTATCTTCCCATTGATGTTTAGCGCTGCAAGTGATCAGTCTCATGTTGGCATATGTGCATTCTGAACGGATTACCTCGATATAGACTTAAGTCAAAAGCTTTTTATAAACCAGAATTTCATAATTGTCACGGTGAATAATTTCATCATATAGACAGAGAGTTCTTTTCGATAGAACAATGAGAATACGGAGTTGATCTGATGAAAATGTGATGAATTTGTGCTATATATTTCGAACAATCCGATCACACATATACTTGTCAGGTTATTTTATATGCAGATTAATAAAGGTCAATTAAATGAAGGTTCGAATAAACGAACTGATAAAGGAGAAAGAAACATTTTATATCGTATAGAAAGAATATAAATTTGTCGCGTTATCTTAGGCCATAGAATGACTTATGGATTACCAGGGTAAAGTCATAGTTATGACAAATTGTTTTTGTATACATAATGTGGGTGAATGGGGGTTCATTTACGAATAGACAAGGCCTCGATAAACTTGCGAATTCGTCCTTGACAATTCCTATACAACATTTTCAAAGTTGTATTCATGTTAATTTTGTGCCCCGTTTCAATTCTATGTTACGCTATCAATGAACATGGTTTTATACTTCAAATGTTGATTGGATCATTTGACACTAATTAGTTTTGAAACCATCTAGACACTTGATTACATTGTTCAATTACTCCACTCTATGTATTTCTTTTCCTTGGAAATCATTTTGCATATTTTGTAACTGATTGTTACCGATGTATTGATTGATTGACTGATTGATTTCAGCTAATGCAGTTCCAAGTGAGTCTACGCATGAATATTCCACTTACTATAACAACAACAACTTCTGTTGTACAACAATGTACAAATGTGATCGATGTTACTCACAAACTGATAAACATATTACTTTTACCTAATATTTTGGCATCACTGTTATATTCGTTGTGCTTATGATCGATGATAGAAGACAAATGTATTCAATAAGAACTAGAATACTAATATTCTTCAATGTTTACTTCAATAATTGAATTGATTAGCATATATATTAGTAATAAACAATGAATGTATAATTTGTTGGAATGGATACTACTGGATAAACTGGAATGATAGTAGTATTGGATTAACATCAGATTTAGACCTGTTTCTAAATGGATTGTTACACATATTAATACTGGCACGTAGAATTACTGGTTGAGTGTATTAGAATAGAAACAACACTAACAGTAGAATATCGAGCAAGTACTTACTTACTTAATTACTTAAGCCTGTTTCTCCTCGTGAAGGAGCATAGGCCACCAACCACCACTCTACATCCAACCCTGTCCTAGGCAAACCTTTCCAGCTATTTCCAGTTGCTATTCATCCTTTTCATATCTGATTCTATTTCCCGACGTAATGTGTTCTTTGGCCTTCCTCTTTTCCACTTCCTTTCAGGATTCCAAGTTAGGGCTTACCTCGTGATGCAGTTTAATGATTTCTGTAATGTATGTCCTATCCACTTCCAACGTCTTTTCTTAATTTCTTCTTCAGCTGGAAGCTGGTCTGTTCTCTCCCACAAAAGGCTGTTGCTGATGTTATCTGACCGATGAATGTTGAGTATCCTGAGTAGACAGGTGTTTATAAATACCTGTACCCTCTTGATAGTGGTTGTTGTAGTTCTCTAAGTTTCAGATCCGTACAGTAGAACTGCAAGTATAGTAACGGAAAATTAAATTAACTGAATATAATTCACTAGGACTACTGAGCATCCCTAGTGGTAACGAAGCGTTGTTTCGGCAGTCCTGATTATGATTATCAGTCTGTGTTTACTGTTCGTATTTACGGGACGAAATTGAAACTGATTCATGAAATAAGTGTAATGATAGGGAATATTAAACTGTTTAAGTGTAAATTAAGTTGACTGACATAATCATCGGATTGAATTTTATTTTGACAGTAAGTCAACTTGATGTTTTTGTTCGATTTCAGCACACACGACCACCGTTGAGGTTAATAGTCGTAAGTAACAATAGACATGAAATTCACTTGATTGTCTGAATCATTATGTCTATATACAAATTTGTATAACGAGTGCTGTATTACAAAAGGTTGTGCAATTCTTTTCTTCATTTATTGGAAAATACTAATTGGTTCTAAGTTTAATCAGGAGGAGAAAGTACTTTAACTAATAACTGAAACAGAGCATTATGAATTGATACTGTAGTTTTACCCTACCTCCATGGTACAACTGACCGACTGATCTGGTTCGATGTTGATAGTGCATTTGCATGTGTGTGTGTCTGTGTGTATTATATATTGTGTTATGTGTAGTGTTGTCCTGAATAGTACGGTGTATCTGAATGAGGGTGAAATGAAATTTTGATATTGATGAATGAGTGTTGTGCTATCTTAATTGTTTTTCGTGTGGTCGAGCAGTCTAAGGCGAATGATTTAGGCACCAGTGAGAAACCGGCGTTGGATCGAATCTCACCCCAAACATACCTGTTCACAGTCAACCCCATCGCACTATCCCATCACACACAATCCCAACGATCGCAAACATACCACCACGATCACACAATCACAGCCAATCATCATCAACAACACCATAACCACTACGTCACACTCTCCACTATCTCACTCCGTTCCGTTTCGTCCAATTTACAACACCGAGCAGTCATAGTCCATTTCGTAGTTCCACTCACAGACAACATCGTCTCACTGTATCGAACTACTGTTATATATGGTGATGCGTGTTGAGTGGTGAGTGAGTGAGAGAGGAGGAGATGATTGTCATCAGGTTTCCTGACAGACAAATCTGGTGACTCTCAAATTACGCACAATCAAAATATATTGTAAACCAATCAACATTTTAAAATGTGTTAGTTAACTCCCCCGACTTCACCTGAGGATTCTGTCTGCACGTTAAGTTGTGTCAATTGAGATACCTTGTGTATTCTTTTTTCGTCTTGTGTAATCATGAATCCAGCTTAAATATATCTAGACTACACAAACGTCTTCCTAAACATCATGAGGAAGTTAATAAACATTTAATTAAATCTGCAACATCAGTACATTTTGTTTTCAAAAACGATCAAATCGATATTAAAAATAACAATGATCTAAAATGATTTTCCTTAATATAAAGAAAACCAACTAGCTGACAATGTCTACTATGTTCAATCGAGCACTTATCAAGACAACCACATTTATCAGCATAGAGTTGCGGAGATTGTTAACGTTTGATTAAGTTCATGAATGGATCATTGTTAGAGAACCATTGAAGACCTAGAAGTATTGGACGGCCGTTTTGTCCTAGTATGGGACTCCTCAGAAGGGCGCATCCACGACTTTGCACGTGAGATCAACGTGAAGCCGTTACTCACTGAAGACAATGGTGGACGGTCGCATAATATCGTGAACTGCTTAGCACTGTTGGATGCCGACTTGATAGTCTAAAAGTTAAGTTCCCGCACATGAGACCGAAAGTTTTGGACTCGGATCACGTATGTGGGACCGTGGATTTGCACATCTGAGGAGTCCCATACTAGGACGGAACAGTCGTCCAGTGCTTCTAGGTTTCCAATGGTAGTCTAACATTGATCCCTTCACAAACAGTTTTCCATAATTCTGATAAATTAATCTCAAATTTTGTTTTCAATCTATTTTGGGCATCCTGTTATGCTATCAGTGTCAATTCAATAGGAGACTATATATTCGTATGTAAAAAAAGTTGATTTCCGATCTGAAACTGCTGTGAAACTTGATGAGACTATAATTTATGAACGACATTTGAACGACGCTAAACTGATCTTCAGAGTACCCACCTAATAACTAGGATCAAATGAAGGTTATAAACCATTGTGGAGAATTAAAATTATGATTTACAGTTTATGGTTAAGATTAAGAATTAGATTTAGAGTTTTTGTCATGAACTGATATCAGCTATAATGTTAAAACTGTATTTAGCCAAATGGATGAATGATTTTCGCGCCTGTTATCGTAAATCTGATTGGTTCGTCTATAAATTATAGTCTCGCCATTACTTCCTTGAATATTACTTAGTTTTTCTAGTGCAGCTTTTCCATTAAACATAACTTTTTAGTTTCCTTCAAAGAAAGTAAGTTTTCGCATAAAAAATATTGATTTTAAAAGTATATCCTTTGTTCCTGGGTTATGGGTTTTTTCGTCCAAAACATTAACCGATCAGAGTTGCACCACCAAAGAAAACCCGAAAACACTGGACGTCCATTTTGTTCTAGTATGAAACTTCTCAACATTGTACGTCCATGACCTTAATCCTGGGTTTGATTCCGGTGTGATAAAAGCAAACATCAGAAACTAAGTAAGTTTATTAATTTGACTTAAGAATTAAGTGTCACGAGTAATACAATGTTATAGCAAGCTAATCACTAAGTGACCAATATTTATGTCAATTTATTCTAATGTTCCTTGTTTGTGTTTTGACACTACAGAAATTATCAACTTATGTAAGTAGTCAGTAATTAAATTGAGTAATATATAAACTAGTAGGTTGGTTTAACAGTTCTCATATCAGAAGGCTTTTTGTGGATATTAAAACGATTTAATAGTTAAGTTCATGAGTCAATTAAAGGTAGACGAACATGGAAAACCTGCAAGCACTGGACGGCCGTGACTAGTGGAGTTCAAATGGGTTTGATGACAATGGTGGACGGTGGCGCGATTACCTGGATTATTTGAAGTTATATATTAACACTGTTGGATACCGGTAAGTCCAACAGTCTAGTGACTAAGCGTTTTGCGCGCGACACCGACAGGTGCTGAGTTAAAACCTCGCGAAACGGGGTCGTAGATGCGCACTTCTGAGGAGTCCCATACTAAGATGAAACGTTCGTCCAGTGCTTCTAGGTTTTCCATAGTGCTCAAGCTTCAATTGACTCACGAACTCAACTACCAAGTTAATCAATTGTCAACAACTTAATTTACTATTTCAATCCATCGTGTTATCAATTTCGACTCTTTCTACATTCATTTATTATACAGACAAAAATTGGATGAATGAAAAAGGTATGCAATTTTGTATAGTTATAACAAAGAAATCAATAAATTAAGTCACCTTTTACTTAATTAAATGCAACAATATAATATCTCAGTGAGTAGAAAATTGTATTATGGATATTTCGTAACTTAATCTAAGTCATTTCTTCAGAATGAATAAATAACCGAAATATAATTAATACAAGTTTGAATACAATATACTACTGATGAAGTGAGTTAGATTAAGTCACGAAACATCAGAAAAATAACATTATACTCATTGAGATATCAGACAAATACTTAGTTTATATGAAACTATCTTGTACAACTTTGACATAATGTTATATTATTTGACTGTAGCAATATAACAATTATAGAACGGATAGGATATCATCCGTATGACGTTGTGAAGATTGTTAAGTTTTTGATTGGGATCAGTTATCAATTAGATAAGTCTTTTAAATGAACTCTAAATTCGGTTTCCTAAGCTCTTGTAATAACATTCAGGCTGAATCTACACAACGACTTGAACATGAGAGAAAAGGCGGGGGATATAGAAGAAACGCTTTACTCCAAAGGTTCGTTTATGCACAGAAAATCTAGGGTTTTTATAGTATTTTAGATGGTTTTAGGTTTCCGGAAAATTCTGAAATGCTACTAAACATAGTAGCTGTATAAGTAATCACCCAGTCAAAAATTCGAGTTATGACTTTTCACCTTCTAGATGTTTCCGGCAAAACGTCTACTGAACGCTAATTGGATAAGATGCTTCTCAACGTTTTCAGAGCCTTTCTTAACTTATGTTTTTGAGTTTTTCTGGATTTCCTCAACACAACTGATATTTAACTACCATTGTAAACCTAGAAGCACTGTGATATCAATAATGATTTTATGAAATTGCAGTGCTACTACTGAAGTGTATTTAAAATCCTTCATGTTTCACGGTGCATACAACATGTGAGATATACATTTTGTTGATTGGAAATCTATTCAATCCATAAACATATATCTCATGATTAATAGTTTGAATAACTTCATTTACGTTATATTTGACTTTCTTTACTAATCATAAGCAATTAAATTCATTTACGAATGGTTCTTCATCCACTGTGAAGATTGTATCTGTCTTTACGAATTCTACAGATTATAATCCACCAAAAGAGAGGTCAGTAATTAATTATTAACGTAACCGTTTTGTTTATTCTCTTCTAAATGTAATCTTAATAAACCATAAAGTGTCCTGATAACTTTAGCTAAAGAATTGTCAAACAACATGAATTGTAATTTAATAGTCGAATTCATTAATGAATTGAAGCTAGGCAAACATGGAAAATCTAGAAGCATTGGACGACCGTTTCGTCCTAATATGCGACTCCTCCTTTGCAGTACGCATTCACGATCATGCTTTATGCGATTCAAATACAGGATCGATCAGTTTTGCGCTCGAGCGCTTAACCACTAAAACACTGAACCTGCCGGTATGCAACAGTACTAATGTCTAACTTCAACCAATACATGAAATTGAGCGACACATCCATCAATGTCATCAGTGAGTTACTATTTCACAACAGACCAAGTTGAACTCCACTGGTCACTGCTTATCACTAGAACTTCAGGAAATAACTCTTAGAGACAGTCACTAGTGAGCATATATTAATTAGTATCACAAGGGGGTTTTTGTGGATATTATAGTAATTTCAATAGTTGAGTTCATGAGTCAATTTAAGTTAGATCTGGAAGCACTGGTTGGCGATCTCATCCTAGCATGGGACTCCTTAGCAGTGCACATCCACAATCCTATAGTTTCACAGTATGACGAAACGGTCGTCCAATGCTTCCAGATTTTCCATGGTTGTCTAGTTTCAATTGAATCATGAACTCAACCATTAAATTACTATAATATCTAAAAAAACTCCCTTCTGATAATATGAATTGTGATTTTTTGCATGTCAGTAAATAGATAATTTTATTATTATTACAAATAACAATCTGATTGTAAACGGTAGACCGAACAAATCAGTCACTTACTCAGCATTTTTTCTTTTTGAACACTAGTTATTTGTTAGACTCAATGGAATACCTCTTCATATTTCAATATACATGAATAACTAATATGACTGGTAAGTTGATAAAATACTAGATCAATTCAACAACAAAAAGAAAACTAGAAAAATAAAATGGAGTTGAGATTGAGGATGTCAGTCAATCAACAAAACTGTATTGAGATTACCAATTCATGAGAAATATAACGAACAAATACCGTCAAGAATCAGACCTATGAGGAAGACAACCAAAATAAATGTCTATACATCATGAATACAATGATAGATAACAACTAATCAATTTCCATATAATGAGAAGAAGATGTTTATCGCTAGTAGAGATATTCTAATAGTTTACGAAGTCCTCTTCCAATGAAGATATATGGTATACGATCGGAGAATATTCTTCGTAGTTAATTCACATAAGATTTTAAGATAATAAATCCAAATAATTGATTCAAAGCAATTGGGTCGTTGGGAAAATAGAATAAAATTCTTAAAGTTAGATTCCAAATGCCATGATACGGTCGAGAGTGGGGAGAGTCTGCTCCCCTTCTCCAAATGCCCTCACATGGTCACGCGTATAAAGCCACCATCAAAAAGTCCTATCACTGCCTTTTTGCAACGAGGGTGCTTTTCATGAAACTGAGTGGACGACGAGCAAATGTCTGACGCTTTAATCGGGTTGACGGATACGAAATATCAATTTAGGGGCGCTGGAAAACTCTTATTCTAAACCAATGGTGCACATGGGTTCCAGGATCTTGAAGGAACAAATGAAGTATCTACCAATCGTTGACCAACGGCTACTATAAGACTGCATCTCCTGACATTGCTCCACTGCCTTGTGGATTAGACCTTTAGGTTGAAGACTACGACTGCTCCCCCCTCAGAAAACCATCTACTTTGATCTGGGCACCCAGGTAGTATCATAGCCCATTCAAAAATCAAGTGACTTGTGTGGCGCATATGTATTCGGTGCCCCTTTTGTACCCAGATTTATGTGTTCAAATAAATAAATAAATAAATAGGTGAAATTATCGTTTAAACATCGGGTAAAAGAAATCCAGTTACAAATTTGACTATATATTTGATCAATGATCAACCAGTACATAGAATGGTATAAATGAAGTAGACATGTGAATAGTCATTTTATTATTAAGATGAAACTATTTGATTGAGATCCGTACAAATTTCAATTTGTACTTTCACAGATCATATTTCTGATATTCACATATAAAGAATGTGTATGTGAACATTTGTCTTCAGTGACCAGTGGAGCTAATCCATGTCGGGTAGAGACAGATATCTACCTCAGTACAATGGAAGATGGTCGGTCAAATTCGTGGATTGGTTAATGTTAGTCACTAAGACCACTGGATGCCGGCTAAGTGGTCCAGTAGGTTAAGCGTTCGCACGCGAGACTGAAGGCCCTGGGTTCGAATTTCGCGAGGTGGCGTGATCGTGGATGCGCACTGCTGAGGAGTCCTACAATAGAACAAAGTGGCCGTCCAGTGCTTCCAGGTTTCCGACGGTGATCTAACATCAATCGGTTCATGATCTTAATCAAAAACTTAATAATCTCCACAGCTCCTATACCAATAACAGTAAACAGATCATCGGGTTCTATAGTTAACAATTCATAATTTTCGTGTCGCCATTAGCCAAATCATGGTATATATGAATAAGCTGACTGAATAATGTTCTAGGCTAATAATAGTGAACTTTCACATTGATACACCTTGCTGATCAATACTGACTAGCACAGAAACTAATTTCAGGTTTTCCTATCGACTATCCCCAACCTCCCTGTTGGCATTTACTCACCCATATTTGGCCGGAACAATTACCCTATCTAAAATTTTATTTACTTAAACATTTTAATTGTAGTGAATTCTATGAAAGATTTTGGTAAGTAGACCAGTGTAACGAACTATTTTCTTCTACTATCACTCTAAACAGTTCATTTGAACTTGGATCATTACGAGAAAGTAAACTATTAGCCGGATATTTCATGTATTGGATATCAATACTAATCTTTTCTTTACATAGAATTCTATTCAAAGAAATAGTTTAGATTCAAGATTCAATCATTTAAGGATTGTCTGTATGATATCATTCAATGACTTCATTGAAGATCAAAGTTGACTACTGTATGATGATGTAGATTGTTTTAAAAGAACGATCACTTCACTCATGTCAGTATTCTGATGTTCATGTTGTTATATTACAATTCAGTGGTTTTTATAACTGATAATACTGTGGTGTATGCTACTGATCTCGACAGATATATAAGTAGTATGTATCATCAACCAAAAGTGAAATGCCTGTAGAAAAGAGAACAAGACCAAAGAATGATTGGTGTGAAATCGAAAGAACAATAAAGTCTGAGACGATTAATTGACATTTTGCAAATTAAGTATTCAATGTATGGTTCTCGGATTTTACTAAGAGATTCTGTAATTTTGTATTCAACTACATTTGATTATACCCCCATTTGTGTTCTTGTTCACTGCAATATAACAGATCAAACAATGAAAATCATTCATATGATTCAACCGTTTGAATATGCATGAATTCATATTTGTAATGTTAAGGGATTGGTCCACCAGGGCGCTAGGTACCTGTGTCGTTGCGCCACAGGACTGAGCTGTACTATTCAGATTGTAGCGTTAAAGTTTATACGGTCTCTGGTTCTCCTGTGAAGCGGGATTGAGCTGTACTGTTTGGGTTGTCACGTGAAAGTCCGGATGGTGTCTGGTTCTCCTGAAAACCAATGTAAAATTACCCTGGCCCACAAGGGTATATTATATGATGTTAAGGGGTATGGTACACCACTACTGTGACTTAAAACAATAAAGTGTGTATTAAACACAGTTTGTCTAGTAATTCATCGTGTTATATTTATACCAGGTATACTTAGTTTGGTTCTTCAATAAACATAAAAATACTACTTTATTAAGTAATATGTAACGCTGCAAACCAACTGATGAACATTTTATTCTCGTTGAGATTTCTATGATTATTAAACTTCCTAAACAATTCATCAAAATAGTATTGTGTGATACAACATGGAACGAGGTCCTCAATGACTGAATAGTAAATTTTACAGTTTATTATGATGCACATGGCCAAGGGAGGATAAGAGGTTGGACGAATCGTTTTTGTATGCAAAGTTCTGGAGTAAGTTCGTGGATTACCAATGCTTCAGCAATGTCTAAAATATTGATTTGACTTTCCTTCGATCTAATTCCTTTGACTATGTAGATTACTTTAAAAGATGATTCCTATGGATCAATACATCTATAGTTGATTAAATGATACAGCTTTTATTATTATGATCTTTATGTTTGTCATTTCTTCTTCAAATCTGTCAATTGGACAATTATCAAGATCCGTAAATTATTTTCGCCTTTATATTTCTTCCTTATCTCTTCATTATTGTGTAACTACATTTGATAATAAGAGTCTCACATCAGTTTATCATGTAATCATCTCTATTCTTCTATAGACTCATATATTTTACACAATAACTATAAATACGAATATATATACAACTGTTATATCCTAGTGAAGATCAGTTTACGGGTACCTTCTGAGAACTATTAGTTTATTTATTCATTTATTTGAACACATAAATATTGGTACAAGAGGGCACCAAATATACATGCGCCACACTTTTGTGTTATGGCTGTGATACTGTCCGGGTGCCCAGACTGAAGCAGGTGGTTATCTAAGGGGGCCACACTCCGAGCCTTTGACCTAAAAGTCTAACCCACAAGGCAGTGGAGCATCGTGAAGAGATGCAGTCCCATGGTAGCCGGTGGCCAAAATTGTTTCATACGCCATTTATTCATGCAGGATTCTGGAGCCCATGTGCACCATTGGTTTGGAATCCGGTTAAAGCGCCAGACATTCGCTTTTCGTCCTCTCATTTTCGTATACAACACACCCGCCACGAGAAGGCAATGAGTAGGACTTCCCTGGCAGAGGCTGTATACGCGTGGCTGTTTGAGAGCATTTCGAGAGGAAGGGCGGGTCCACCCCACTCTCGGCCATACCAGGGCATTTGGGGGCTAATATAATAAATATATTCTTATGGTATAACCATTCAGTAGTTAGATTATGCATATCTATATTCTTCTTATTATAGGCTAAATTTTGACCCATTGACCATCATTATACGATTAACCGTTCTTAAGTTATGTCCAGTTTATTGATTACAGTCTCCCACGTTCACAGTCACTTTTTGGCTTTATCTTGTATAAATGTTATTTCCTATTTTATGGTGTAATGCGGTCTATTTGGCTAGTATATAAACCAAATATGTTTGAAACAAATAATTCGTATAATGGAAGCTGTTATTACCATTCTGGACTCAACTGGATGGGCTAAGTGAGCAATGAACCAATAAAGACGCTAAGCTGATCATACTGATCGAATGTCATTGCTTTGGCATAGTGCCAACATTGTATAAATTCTATTTCAATTAGCGAATATATCAGGTGATAACAAATCGGCTTTCAAGTCACAACAACAACAACAACTTAAGTGAATGATTACGTTGAGAAGAAATAACCTTCTTTATTAACTTGAATCATGAAAGTCATTGATCATTTAAATATCCCGACAAGTTCTTCAATGTTGCTTCTGTTTTCTTTTGTTTTAATTATTTAGGGAATTATTTAAACATTGTTTTTTAAATTCAGAACAATTAAGGAAAATTCTGCCATTTTGAATTCGGATCAAATTTGACTTCATTATGAATGAGACTATTTAAATAATTGATGAAGTTTGTTTGTTTTTTTGTTCAATGAAAAAATTGATGATACATTTAAGCTCTGAAATATATTCATATACAAGAAGTGTTTTATATTAGAATGTAATTGAATAATGAATAATTTATTAATGTAGAATAAGAGGGGGTTGTGGATATTAAAATACTTTTAATAGTTAAGATCCTGAAATACTAGATGGCTGCCTCGTGGGATTCAGAACCAGGAGCTCCGATCTCGCGCGCGAACTCCTGACTTCTAGATCACTGAGCGTGCCGACATCCAACGGTGTTATTATCTAACTTCAACTAATCCACGAAATTGAGCCACATGTCCACCATTGTCTGCAGTGAATTACTATTTCACAACAGATCAAAGATCATGGCTTCTCACTAGAACCCCAGGAAATACATCTTGGAGACCGTCATTAGTGAGCATATGATGAATATAATCAGAGAGGGGTTTAGTGAATATTATAGTAATTTATTAGTTGACAAGGGTGACGTAATATCATGAATTGGTTGAAGTTAGACATTAACACCGTTGGATGTCGGTTCATTGGCCTACAGCTTAAGCATTCGCGCGCAAGACCAATAGGTCATTAATTCAAATCTCTCGAAGCGTGATCGTGGTTGCGCACTGCTGAGGGATCCCTTAATAAAATGAGACGGTTATTCAGTGCTTCCAGGTTTTCCGTGGTGATCTAGCTTCTATTGGCTCATGAATTCAACTAATAAAATTGATGTATACATCAGTAATCCGATTAAATGTCAAACCTAACTTTTTTAGAATTGTTCCTTTATTTATAAATTTAATTCTTCCGAGTGTATGACGTCAGTTGTAGTAAGATGGTGTTTGAGGTAGTCAACAGGAATCCCTGGGTCTAGGTTTCGTGCTAATTGGCACTCGTCAGCATGGTGTACTGAATGTCGAATCAGCTAGACTGGTGGCCACATTGCAACGTGGTTGATAGGATTCGATCTACACTAAGAAGAACCTGACATAGATGACATTGATCACCACCCAGTGATCAGTCAGTTTTATATACATCTCAGTCCTACAGGAGGTCGGTCGTGGCCCGAATAGCTCAGTGATAACGTCTCTGACTGTGAAGTTGGGTGATACGGGATCGAGTCCGTCAGGGCGCATCAGTTCCCTCAAGATTACAGGTAAACCTTGTCGACGAGTGCCAAAGAGCACGAAACCTAGGTCCAGGGTTTCCACTTGACTACCTTCAACCACCATCTTATCTCAATATAGTGCATCCAATGTCAAGTCACCTAGACTGGTGGCCACATTGCAACTTGGTCGATAGCATGTGTTCTACACTAAGAAGGACCTGACATACATAACCTTGATCACCACCCGGAGATCAAACTATTGTTAGTTGTAATAATTCCTGGTTGTAAAATATTTACAAATACTTCAATATAAATGAAGTTCCTTTAAGTCCTAGTTTCTGAATATGGTTTTAAGAGTAATAAAATTAATGATTTGTAAAAAAATCTGTATCTTTTGATCTACGTTCAGTTTGTTAAACTAAATGACTGAAAAAAGTTGGCGAAGATCTGTAGCTCAAACGGATGGTTTTGATGGAGTTTTGTTCGCTGAGTTGAATGGTTTGGTCATACACCTTTCATTGTTCTTCTGGATGACATCATCAGCAAAAATGTCAGGTAGAAGTACTGATGATGTCGTTCAGAAGAACGACGAAAGCTCCACAACCAAACTATTCAGTTCAAAGAACAAAACTACATCAAAATAATACACCTGAACTACAAATCTCCACTTCTGATTAGTGTTATATACTACTTATATCGATCTACATAAGTAGCACACGTACACTGGCGAACAACAATTAATTTATATCAGAACTATATATGATAACTTCTTTTTTCTCCGACAAAAAGGGATTTAAGATGTGTTGATATCACAGATATGAATATATTCTCCCATCAAAAATAAACACAGTTACTAGGAACATTGAAACTGGAAGAAAATTTCATTCATTTTGATTGCATAATGTTTTACTCAAATACAAATATCGTTTCCATAGAAATGAATTTAATCATTAGATTATCCTAAAAGAACCATCCATGTGCTGAAACTGGTAAGACAATGTTTTACAAGTTTCCTGTAATTGAAATAAATAAATTGAATTGTGGTTATTAATTACAATGAAAGCATTCAAGGAGTAATCTATTGTTTAGATTAGGTAAACTATATAATTTGAATGTTATAGTAGATGTTCTGTTATACTAAGGCAATACTAGGAAGGAAACATAGATAACATTATAGAGTTGTTTCATCTAATTATAAGACTCGTCAGTAAGGAATATACTACGATTAAATCTGAAACATTTGCGGTTTGTGATAAGTGAATGACTAGCTGGTATGCTTAAATACACAGAGCTACAATCTTCAGAAATTGATTACATTATCACAGAATTTATTCGCCTTGATATTCTAATTAGTAAAGTTTAAACTAAAGGACGAGTTTACTGTGCGGCAGCTTGTTCCGTCCTAATTTATGGTAGTGAAACATGAACGGTAAGGGTAGAGGATATTCGTAGGTTACTAGCATTCGATCATAGGTGTCTTCGAAGCATTGCTCGTATATCCTGGGACCACCGAGTAATTAATTCAATTGTTAGGTAACAGGTACTAGGTAAGAATTGCAAATCAATTGATGAAGTAATGAAACCTCACCAGATGAGGTGGCTGGGAAACGTCCTACGTATACCCAACCACCGAATGCCCTGATGTGCGATGCTTCATGATGTAGGAGTAGGATGGAAGAAAGCTAGGGGCGGCCAGAACAAAACATTGCACAAATACATGAAGTCACTGACAAGTGAACTGAGCTATGTTGGTGGGTGTAGACTACCTGGTTGGGATCCACGAGGTGATAGCAACCGATGGTTAGAGACCTTGAATGACATGGCTCAAAATCGCTTGCAATGGCGCAGGTGCATCCACTCTTTGTGTTCTCCCAAATTCTAACCTTCTGACTTCTTCATGTCCCTTTCTTTTTTCCCTTTCCAAATTTATTTCACTAGATTAAACTCCTTGAATAACATCTCCAAGCACTAATCTTTTCGATTACTGTTTATACTCTTACTACCTGTACCACCACGGGATTTGAATCGACCACTGCATCTCTGTGCTATTGTGGTATGACAATTTGAACTGATGTAGGTATATACGGAATTCTTCGTTGTTACTGACTGACTGACTGACTAACCAACCTAAACTGCTCACTCAAACTACTAAAAAACTTTATCCATGCTAAGTGAAAACTAAATTCAGTTGTGGATCATTTAACACCTTATTGTATTTAAAATACAGAATTGAATTTGACAATCTTTTTGGGTCACCTAGGCAACACCGGCTAGTAGATGTGTTGATGTGTATAAGTTTTTAATACTTGTTTACAAATCGATAAATCAATCTATTTTTATGTTGCCAATATTTTGTGTAGTTTAGCATCTTTAAAAACTTCAGTTTGTTTTTTCTTCTCAAATTAGATAATAATATTGGAAGTAAGAGTATAATCTGTTGAAATAGCACAGATTTATGTCAGTCAGTCAGTTTCAACGTAGAACCAGACACATATGTGCATCGGTCCAAGTTGCCATCCCTCATTAGCACAACAAATAGAACACTGGATTCATAGAAACAGTTAATTCAGTGGTCGTGATATATAAAAGAAAGACTGCATATAAGGATACAGTACAGGAAGAAAGAATTTGTTCGTAGAAAGAAATATATGAAACGATTTTAATCTAATATTTTAAGGGAACACAGAAAGTATATACGCCGACACCACTGTGATGGATTCTGAGTCATGTCACCAAAAGTCTCCAACCATTGGTTAGGATAGTCACGCGCAACCCAACCAAGTAGTCTACATCTACCAACTTGGCTACGACTGGAAGTTAGTAACTTCAAGCACTGATGCCACATTTTGGTTAGGCCGCGCCTAACTTTCTCCCAACCAATCCCAACACTAGTCAGCATTGTGCGTCATGGTAATCTGTGTAGAAAACTTTAAATATGACAGTATATCCTCATTTCTTGTATTTCAGGTGAAGTTAACTGTTTATTTTATAGCTAAGGAAATATCATGTAAATGTAGAATTGCTTGAGTATTAGTTTACATTATAATGGTAGATGAACATTTAACTACTGGCTATTTTGTTAGTAATATATATAATTATTATCAAAAAGGGGTTTCATGGATATTATAATTGTAATTGAATAGTTGAGTTCATGAGCCCACTAGTCATTGGCTTCAAAAGGAATTTCCTAGAGTTTTAGTGAGAAACCATGACCAGTGTAATTCAGTCAGGTCTTTTGTGAGATAGTTACTCACTGAAGACAATGGTGAACGGTGGCGCAATTTCTTGCATTCGTTGAAGTTAAATATTAACACCGTTGGATGCCATCTCAGTGATCTAGTGGTTAGGAGTTAGCGCGTGAGACTGATAGGTTTCAGGTTCGAATTCTGCGAGCGGTATCGTAGATGCTCACTGCAGAGTCCCATACTAGGAATTCCAGGTTTTCTATGGTAGTTTGGCTTCATCTGACTCGTGATATATATAAATATAAATTTGCAAAATTCTTCAACATTCATTTAAAAATTTATTCTTACAAGAATCTCTCTGTTGAAGTCCTAAAGTAAGTTTAAAATAAAATTACAATTAAATTGATGATAGAAAGTATAAAACATTCTTTTTTAAAATAATATAAAAAAATCTAAATTGTGATGATGAGCCAGAAGTGAACTCGAGGAACTTTTAAGAAGCTCAGAAAGAGCCGAAGATATTGCATTCAATCATCTTTTGGGAAAATATTCCAGAATCCTTACCTGTAATCAATCAAAAGTAAATGATAAGAATCTACAGTCGAATCAGATTAGGTCCTAGTTCTTCTCGTTTAATATAGTATGTTAAGAGTCTTTCAAGGAAGTTGAAATCAATCGAAGGGTTCAATATGTATAGAATTTAAACGTGAGAATGTGAGACCGATAGGTCATGGGTTCGAATTCTGCAGGGGGGAACGTGGATGCGCACTCCTGAAGAGTCTCATGCTAGGAAGAAACTTCCGTCCACTGTTACCAGGTATAGGTGATAGTAATTCAAAGCACTACAATTTGACTACCTTTAAACTAAGATATCAGATGAACGTTTTTTCTCAAAAATAATAAACATTCAGGAACTGTTCAGTGAATCAAACTAAGATAGAAAATCAAAACAGGTGAGACTATAATTTATGAACGAACCAATCAGATTTAGGATAACAGATCTTGGATTTTAGCGCGAATTTCATTTATTCATTTGGCTAAATAGCGTCTTGGCATTTTAGCTGATGTCAGTTGGTGATAAAAAACTGAATCATAATCTTTATTCTTTAAACTGCTACTATAACCATCATTTAGCTCTGGTAACTAGGTAGAAACTCTCAAGATCACTTTGGTGTCACTCAAAGATCATCCGTAAATTATAGTCTCACCTATTTACCTATTAAATTCACATTGTGTAATTATATGATCAACATACGAATTGTCCACAACAACAAATGCTGTTTAATAAAAGAAAGAATAATGTTTTATGAATTACAATAATCAATGTTACATAATAATATAACCAACGTATTGCATAACATACTAATGAAACCATTGTCAAACACTTCAAATTCATGTTTACTGCATACAAATTTCATTCTGCACTTGGTTGGTTGTTTTGTCCCAGTGTGGGACTCTTCAGCAGTTCTCACCCAGAATTCGAATTCAGAGACTTCGGTCTCAAGTAGTAGTTTTGCAGTCCGTATAGAAACATTCATAAAAACCTTTATAAACATTTAAATTCTGAATGACAGCATGTTAGTTAGTATGTAATTTTAAGATTCTACGATAGATTATGTTTGTCTTTAACATGATCTAATTATATTTCTGACAGAAGTAAAGTAACATCAAACTATAGTTATGTGCAATTCCTTAGATTGTCAAAGTTTACTACATAGATTAATAATAATACATTTGGAAAGATAAGCGAATTGCTGGAGTACAACGAAGTCAAGTATCTAAGGTTTGTAAAAAAGTTACTTCTGAAACTATCTTCACTGCAACTAACTTTTAGTTGTTTTATCTTGATATATAAATCGCTTGCAGAAACTGCTGTATGAATCGCTACACAGTTAACACTTACAGCAAATGTGATTTTTACGCTCTTTGTGACCTCATAGTCCTCATTGTGATTAGCGACAGTCATTATAAACTTTAAATAAAGCTACCAGTTATCATTTACACTACTAAATTTTGTAGTTGACCTTTATGTTATAACAAGTAGCTATTCTCACAATATTTGGGTGTCGAGTTAATGTGAGACATTGAAGAGAAATAATGTATTTGTAAAATCTCAGCGAAAGAATTTGAAGTAAATCCAACGTTTCGCCAGGCAATGTGGTCCAAGTTTCTTCAAGGAAAAAAAAGCTTGGACCAGATTGTCAGGCGAAACGTTGGATTTACTTCAAATTCTTTCGCTGAGATTTTACAAATAAGAAGCTATTCTATTTCCAGTTAAACAGACACCTTGATTGTCACAGTTACTCCATGAGTTGAGCTTTGTAACCGATTTATATATGAGCAATAATGATAGATCCCTTCACTAGGTGAATTGTTGTTCTGAATGTTAATTTCATGAGAACTTTAGCTATGCTGTTAGATAATTCAGCAGACTTATAACCACCTAATGATTCAAATATCAAATCATGATCCAATAAGAAAGTTAACAATGAAAGCTTTGTTATCCGTTCTTATAGATAATTAGAGACAAATCAAAACATAGTCTTGGATGGAAAAACAAAAACCTTTGATAAAAAGGATTATTCCATTATCTACATTTATTATCAGACTAATAATGAATTCTTACTTGTAGGGGGTTTCTTTTTGACTAAATCAAATTAAACGATAATTATCAGTTTGAAATTGTGAAGATTGTTAAGTTTTTGGTTGAGATTTTGAGTCGATTGATGTTAGACCACCATTGAAAATCTGGAGGCACTAGACGGCCAGTTCATCCTAGTATGAGTATCCTCCACATAAGGGAATCGAACCAAGGATCTTCGGTTTAGCATGTGAACGCTTAATTTCGAGACAACTGAGCCGGCATCCAACAGTATTATTATCTAACTTCATCCAATTCATGATATTGAAATGAAATAATTTCGACACTTTAAATGTTATACATTAGGTAGATGTTTCAGTATAGTCTTTAACTATTTAGCTTATATCTCGTGTCTAAATTGGGGTTGTTCCAGATTTTCAGGTTATAACTACTTAGAGTTTTTTTAGAATGACTAAATATACAACAAAGTATGATTGGTAGCATCAAGAATAAGCAAACCTAGTTCATCACGTTTAGGATTTGTCAATTGACTAGTCTTAAAACCTTGCCCTTTCTGTAATATATATACTAGTATTATTGTTAGAAGGGGTTTTGCAGATATTGTAATCATTTTAATAGTTGAGATTATTAGCCAAATGACTGAACGGGCGTTTCATCCTAATGTGGAACTTCTCAGCAGTGTACATCTACGATCTCGCCTTACGGGATTCGAACCCATAGCCTAACAGTTTCGCAAGAGAACGCTTAACCGGCCATCCTGTGCTTCCAGGTTTTCCATAGTGATCTAGCTTCAGTTGACTCATGATCTAAACTATTAAAATTAATATTATCGTGTATACTATTTATGTTGACAGATAGATGTGGTATTTAACACGAATCAGAAGTGAAATGTTTGATAGTAGAAGATTGATAAGATTAGACCGAAGAAAACAAGAAGAGAAACAATAAGCAATCGTAATAACCATAGAATGGAAAGTATCATGAAGCATATAAAGGATAACTAAAGAAAGATGTACAGATAATGCATTTTAATATATAGCTCTTGTATTTTAGGAACGTACTCTGTAATTGATTAGTTTTCCTGACGATTAATTTAAAGAAAACTAACTTATTTAGTAGCTAACTGTCTCTTCTAATCCAATAGAAGTAAAATATGGTGAATATTTTCAATTTCCAACTCCATCTGTAGTTCTTCTTAAGTAACTGCCAGTCCCAAACCCAAGTAAAGGAGGAGAGTTGGGCATGAGGTTGACAATTTCATCCCGTTGATCTATCACTTTAGATATTTACTCTTCATAAGTTTAATGGTATAGATGAATACCGATTGGTTAGATAATACATCACTATAAACACAAAAATTAGATCCACCCTTAAGTGAAATATGAAAAGTGACGTAATAAAAATAACACGTAATTCACTTACATGCACCTCGAATATTTTCTATGCAATGAATTTTGTATAACATATATTGCTGACAAGATACTACTCATAAATTAAAACAATTATTGAATGTTAAATCTAATAGACTGTAAAGATGGATAGTGGCTAACAGTAGAATCTAGTTTGATGCGCGTTTCTTCTATTTGAGACTCGACTGCCGGATGTATCTGCATCCAAGAATTGATGATCATTCCGAGACTACAGCTGACGATTCCCAAATATGACGAAACGCGCGTCATGGACTCCATTGCTAGGCACCATTCATGTTTGCTCGTAATTTGAGGCTATATTGAGGCAATCCGTACAGAATGCACATATGCCAATAAGAGACTGATCAATTGCAGTGCTAAACATCAATCGCAACATTCAAATAAACAACACAACGTAAATTTAAACTTGACCATATTTCACAAGCCACTGGTTATCAGGACTCAGTAGCTAAGTGGAGAACACGATGACGTTCGAAGCAAATGGTATCGCGTTTGAGTCCTAGAGTGTATATAAACTGTGAGATGCAGGTACATTCAGCTGACGAGTTCCAAATAGGACGAAAAGTGCGTCCTGTATCTTGCTGCTAGCCATTATCTACCTTTCCTTAAAAAGCTTGTGACTTAAGTCTATATCAAGGCAACCTGCATAGTATGCATATATGCCAATAAGTGACTGATCAATTACAGTCCTAAATAACAATGGAAAGATACATCTAAAACAACATCAAGTAAAAACACACCATGTATACTAATCAATACGATGATAAAGTTTGGTAATCTCTATGAATGCTCATAGGTAAAATTGGAAATGAATACAGAATTTCCAAATAGTAGTAAATCAATCAAAATTTATCATTTTAGTATTTTTCTAGTTGAGAACAATTGTGAAGTAGTAACTATCTCTACACAGTTGAAATAATTCAGTTAAGTTAAGAAATGGTAACTAACACCTTATTTGTTTGTCATAAATACTTCATTAATTTATATAATAAAATGGCCTTGTGCCTTATTATTATATCACCTGACGATACCGCCAATTAGAGAACAGTAGATTGTCAACCAAGCCAATTTTGCATAAAATCTGTACGAGCAGTCTAAAGTCTTTATCGGTCCCGCTTCCTGCCTAGCCTTGCTTGCCTATTCACTCCAGAACACGAATCTTAGCCTCCGTGATATTAATCATGTATTTCAAACATACTGGGTTTATATCCAAACAAAACAGATCACATCACATTTGTACAAGATCTAGTCAAATGTGTCTGTGATTGTGGGAGACTGTGATTAATAGACTGGGCATAATTCAAGAACGATGAATTGTATAATAGTCGTTTATGGATGAAAATAAAGCTTATTATATGAGGAATATGGATATGCATAGTTTAGCCACATAACAACAACCGAGTAAAAACATATGTATAGCATTAGCGCATAGATAGATCCCAACAAAATTTTCAAGCTGAGGAAGTTCATATGTAATAAGCTAAGTAGTATGATTATAAATTGAGTAACTGAGAATTTATAGGTATTCAATACTCCAGTTATATTATGGTGTGAGCTACTTACATCCATATAAGTAGTATATAGCGATACTTAGAATGAGAATGTATTTTAGTGGAGGATTGAGAAGGAAAGAACGTGAACGGTAATCAATTGATATGAAAAATGCATGAACAATGAAATCTGAGATGATGGACTGATATTTGCAAAACGAACAGTCAAGTTTGAGACAATGGATTGATATTTGGCAAATTAACTATTTACTGTATGGATCTCAGATTTTAGTGAGATGTTCTGTAACAGCCTTCTGTGGGAGAGAACAAACCAGCTTCCAGCTGAACAAGAAATTAGGAAAAGACGATGGAAATGGATAGGACATACATTACGCAAATCATCAAACTGCATCACGAAGCAACTCCTAACTTGGAATCCTGAAGGGAAGCGGAAAACAGGAAGGCCGAAGAACACATTACATCAGAAAATAGAAGCAGACATGAAAAGGATGAATAATGATTGGAAGGAGCTTGAAAGGATTGTCCAGGACAGGGTTGGATGAAGAATGCTGATTAGCGGCCTATGCTCCTCCACGAGGAGCTTTTTCAATACAATATTACTAATAAACATTCATATATATATACATATAGTTATGACAATAAAGGAACTTACTTATTTCAATGGAAGTTATTATAAACAGTACAATTAGGCAATATTGTATAAAGGTACTCATAATTGTACAATGAATTATGTAAGGAACTAATAGACTGAAATCATTATAAGAAACCTATTTTTATTATTTGTCGATTCGAAATAAAAAAGAAAAGAAAATGAATCATTCATACGTGTGCGGGTAGTGTGTGTTTGGGGGGTACTTTTAATAGTAGTTACACTTATAGTGAATATGATCCACTAGAATAATTTAAAACTACATAAGTGTTATTCATGGTATGTAATGATAGAGATTATTACATCATACAGAACACTTACATAGATTATTAAAGTATCTTCAAGAATATGTGAAATCTCAATCTAATGGATAGATTGATTGATGTATTATTGTGTGATGAGTTAATTTATGTAAACCATTGTATCATTTATAAACAAAACATATGGTGAAGATATGTAGCTCAGATAAATGATTTTGATAAAGCTTTGTTCCTTTGCCTAAATAGTTTGGTCATGGAGTTTTGATCGTTCTTCTGAACGACACCAAATTATCTAGCTCAAAGAATAAAACTCCATCAAAAACAAACCATGTTACTGTATTATAAGCCAATGATTATAAACAGATTCATTTTTGATCAACTAAAACATGATCATATATAGAAATCTGTAGGTTTTTCATTGAAAAAAATTATCATTTTGATAATTCGTCTATCAAAAATTCTATTAAGTTTATGTAATAGTTGAAATCATGAGTCAATTGAAGCAAGACCACCATGGAAAACCGGGAAGCAATGGACGGTCGTTTCGTCCTAACGTTGGCCTCCTCAGCAGTGCGCATGCACGATCCCGCCCCCCTCCCAGTGCTTCCAGGTTTTCCATAGTGTGCTAGCTTCAATTGGCTCATGATTTCAACTATTGAACCTTCTAAAATCTTCACAAAACCCCTTCTGATAAAATTTATGTAGCATGAACTCATCATGCTTAAGATTTTTTATCGCATTTTTTACACTACTTTAAACATTTTCAGTAGTTCATGTTATGCTTCAACCATCTTTATTGGCTTTAAACGTTATGGTAGTGTCATTGAATAAGAAAAAGAGAATTCAGCGAAGAAAATTTTCTTTTCGACGAAATCATTTACTTAAGCTGTACATTCGTATATATAGTTATATGGAAAATGTATGTCTATATAAGGATAGAATGGATTGATTATTATTCAGTCTATTATTATGACCTTTGTTGTTTTGTCGTTTTTCTTCATATCTGTCAGTTGGACTATTATCTGACCCTTAAATTTTGTTCTTCCTTACCCCTGATTAGTACGTTAACCTCATTTGTTATTTATTGTCGAATCCATTTTTGCTGATACAATCCATTCTATCCTTCTATAGACATACATTTTCCATATAACTATATATACGAATGTACAGCTTAAGTAAATGATTTCGTCGAAAAGAAAATTTTCTTCGCTGAATTCTCTTTTTCTTATTCAATGACACTATGGGTTATTTTAATTATCCGTTATGATAGTATTTTTTTGGTGTGATAAATCATCTATTCCATCCATTCATAATCTGGTTCTAAGCAATCTTTTCCATTTTCAAGGTTGTTTATTCAACATCTTAGAAGGCAGTCCTTTTGTTCTACAAACTACATTTTATTATCACAAAGGATTTTCATGGATATTATAATGATTTAGTAGTTGAGTTCATGTGTCAATTGAAGCTAGACCACCATAGAAAACCTGGAAGTACTGAACAACCGTTTTGTGTTAGTATGAGACTCCTCAACAGTGCACATCCACTACGTTTTAACATTTACTTCATTAGCTAAATTGTAAAATTAATATTTTTTCTGACTGTTTATGATTAAATTATGGACTACTAGCATCACATAATTCGAGCTCTGTAAATTGTTGATGTTTACTTCCAAATATCACATATTATTTCAACTGGATCTGATCTACTTCTTAAGGCGTTAGATTCCCAGAACTTACTTGAAAAAGGTCCTAATTTTTTTATTTTATTCTGAAAATTTGGATTTTATGTTTTCGCGCCAAGAGACTCTTAGTTGACCTACAGCTTATATTTCTCACTCGGAAATCCTTGAATGTCATTGGTTGACCGATTGTTTTAGTATGCTGCTTCGTGGCTCTCCGAAGGGCATTTTTAACATCGTATAAATTAGCTTGATTTGTGTGCTCAGTGACCTCGTATTTACTGGGTGCTTGTAGGATAAATTCTCTACGCCAGATCAAGACTTCATGATCTAGTTATCAGGGCCGGTACAACGGATTAGAATAGCTTATCGTATCACTGTATCTTCGACCTTCGTTCCATTTACCGAGTAAGATGAATTCGTAATAGCATTCAAGCATATCACTATTACATTAGCCAACTTCGTATAACTAAGTCGTTAGGCTAAAATTTCTAAATGGGTGTTGTGTATACCCTTAGTCGCTAAGATTTTGGCTAAATCAAATGACAAATTGGTAGCAATGATGTTTAAGAAACATGTTCGTTTCAGTTTGATAAAACGATTGAGAAAACTAGAACTTGTCATAGTTAACACTTGGAGGATGCATATCTTAATGAGGTATAACAAAGATACAGACGTTTAAGTTAGCTGTATACTAGCTTATCCCGATTTCTAAGTTTCTCATTATATGTAGTGTTGAATACTCAGTTCTTTTCATTTTCCAACTGTATCTATTCTGGCAAAAATGGGCGTTATTCTCTTTACTTTTTGGAACAACAATAATAATAGGAACGATAACGGAACCTAGCACACAACATTACTATCATGTACTATCTCATCGCCCTTGGCAGATCAGACAACTTGAGAACACCATCAGAGCATACGACAAGCTAGGTGCCACCTTTAAACTTTTGCCTTTGTTATATTCCAGAAACATTTCAAATGGAATTTGTACTTCATTAATCACCTTGAACTACATTATTTGTCACGTTCATAGGGCCTTATTATTATGTAAGGCCATAAAGTTTAGACACTTGGTTGGATACTATCAATAAAATGTGATATTCAGTGATCTGATTTGTTAACCAAAATATTAAAGAATCATGTAGAATTCATCATACATCATTATAGATTTTCTAGAAGTTAACATGTAGTTTAAAGAAAAAGCTGAAGATTCTGTTACATGTTAATCCATAATATACAACTCTTCTACATATGAACAAAATAGAATGGTTGAAGTTGGATATTAACACCAATGGATGCCGTCAATTTCGCTGGTTTAGATGTGAAGCGATCGCATGCAAGATTGATAGGTCCTGGGTTTGAATCTCGCGAGTTGGGATCGTGGATGCGCACTGCTAAGGAGGAGTTCCATACTACGACGAAACGGTCGTCCAGTGCTTGCATATTTTCCATGGTGATCTAACTTCAATTAACTCATGAACTCCACTATTAAACTTACTATAATATCCACAAACACCTCTTCTGATACTAATCATCGTATGCTCACTAATGACTGGCTTCATGAGATATTTCCGGGAGTTATAGTGAGAAGTAGTAACTAGTGGAGTTCAACCGGGTCTGTTGTGAGATCGTAACTCACTGAAGATTCATGAATTCAACTGTAAAATCACTAAAATCTCTACAAAACCCCCTTCTAATAAAGATCATATTATTAAATATTCCAAATGTTCGACACTTTCATTTTTCTCGAAATAGTCGATATCGTGTGTATAGAGGTGATGGAGGTTGAAGTGTTCAGTATTTTTGTTGTTGTTTGAAATCGTGTTTGTTCTATTATTATTGATTGTTTCAACTCGTTAGAACTGATCTAATTATTCTCTTTGCTATTCACTGAATCCATTCACAACAATCTGGTGTCAGGCAAGGTTGCTTACTCTCATCCATTCTCTTTCTCCTATTATGAAGACGTCAAAATCTGGGGGGAAACATGGGTTCAAGTGGGAAGCTAAGATGCAGATTCATTGTTTCAATTCGCTAGAAATTATCTAATTATTTTCTTTGTTATTCATTGTACCCATTCAAAACAATCTCCATAGTTAAAATAACTTATTGTATCATTAAATAAATGTAAAGTGAATCTAGCAAAGATAAATTGGATGCACATAGCAATCACTTTCTAAACGTATCTCAAAATACTGCCTGTCATGACTTTGAAAGGAAGAATGCAAAACAGTTACTAGTTCAATACAGGAGCAATTAATCAATTCTGGAACATAACACTCTGAAGGAGTCTTTTGAAATATTCTATACAGTCAAAGGAATCAGTTCGAAGGGAAGTCGAATCAAAATCTTATGCATTACTGAGACATCAACTCAAGCCCGAACTCTGCGTGTAAAAACGATAAGTCCAACCTCTCATCCCTCCGTGGTCCTAAATCCCTTCTGAAGTATTTTTTTGTTTTTATTTTCTTCTTCTTGTAACTTTAAATCATAATCAGTTATCACTATCTTTTAACAACTTTTCATGATTACTATTAAGTTGTTGTTATTATGACCTCAATGTTTCTCGTTTTTATTTGCCTCATATCTGTCAAGTTGACAATTATCTTTCATAATTCTGACCCGTAAATTAGCTTCATCCATCTTTTCTTCGCTAACCTCCTGACTATTGAGTAAACTCATTTGATAATAAGAATCTTAATTCAACTTATAATTCAATCTACTTGTTCAAAGTAAAGATCGGTGTCAGGCAAGGTTGCTTACTCTAACCCTTTCTCTTCTTCCTGGTAATCGACTGGATTATGAAGACGTTAAAATCTGGGGGAAGCACGGCATACAGTGAATATCTAGGATGGAGCTGGACGATCTATACTTTGTAGATGATCTGGCTCTTCTATCGCACACGCAACAACAAATGCAGGAGAAAACGGCCAGTGTAGTAGCAGCCTTGGCAGCAGTAGGTCTCAATACAAACAAAGGGAAAAACAAGATTAATCTTCTGCTATGATGTAACATATTTATCTGAAGGAGTTTTGTGGATATTATAGTAATTTTAATAGTGGAGTTCATGAGTTAATTGAAGTTAGATCACCATGGAAAATATGCAAGCACTGGACGACCGTTTCGTCGTAGTATGGAACT